AAGAGAAGAAAGGAAAAAAAAAAAAAAAAAAAGGGGGATAGAGAAAAGTTTAAAAAGCAAAAAAAGTGTAATATGTAGTGATAGAGCTGGCAGTGTCAGACACACTGTGGTCCTCTCCCGAGCGGAAGGGACTCCCCCAGCCATAAACGAGGCTCTCAAAACAGAACCGGTCGATGAAACTGGATTGCACCATTACCTGTATTTCCTTGTAACCAAAATGTAAACACCTTAGGCAATACAGTCTTCGAGCGTAACCCGTAGGCCCTTCACCAAAGTCCAGGTCGATCACAATCCAATCTGCAATCCAGGGTGAAGACTGGATAAGTCAGTCAATTTGGTTGGTCTGGTTCATTTAAAACAAAGTCAAGTCCAGTTGATCTCGATGTACAAGGTGAGGGGGGGGAGGGGGAGGTAGCGGCTCGCTGTACAGGTCCAGGAGAAGGTTAAAACTTAAAAATCGGGATGCTACAATAAACAGTATCCAAGTTCCTGAACCTTATCGAAGGTGGAATGTTAAGCCTGATACAAACTTTTTACGGAAAGTGGGGTGGGTTTATAGGTCTGGGTCGTCGAAACCGTAGAATGACTGCGTGTCGCTCTCTTCCTCGAACAGATGCTGAAGGACCCCCGTGGCCAGGTACTCCTCGGGTTGGCTGTCACTGCCGCTATCGGTGTCGTCGCCGTTGTCTTTGTTCAGCCTGAGCTCATCCTCGAGGAGGTTGATGAGTTCTTCCTGCATCTTGGTGTTGCGTTTGCTTGAGTTGTTGGCGCCGCCATTCCCTGGCAGGACGCTGGCCACGAGGAACGACTGCTGGACCAGTTCTGGGTGGTCGCCGATGACGCCCAGGGCCTCCATCATCCAGCTGATGACCAGTCGGAGCACAGTCTCCGGGCTGCAGTTGGTTTTGACTCGAGCCCGTTCTCTCCACTTCTTGTGCAGGAAGTTGGTGATGGTTCGTTTGATGCACACATCGATCGGTTGTATCTTAGAACTGCAACCGGCCGGCACCACGGCGGGCAGCGTGCAGGTGGAGCTCAGGAGGGCCAACACCTCATCAGACATGTGTGACCTGTGACAGTCTACTACTGCCATGCCTTTGTTGTTCGGAAGGTCCACATGTTTCTGCCAAATCCGAGATGACCACAGTTCCATAACCTCATCTTCTGTCAAGCCGTCTTCTCTAGCTTCAAATATGATTGAGTCAGGAACATCAACTACGCACGTCGAGCTGCCCCGAAGGCACACCAACGTAGGCAGTAGGCTGCCGTCGGCCAAGATGGTCAGAACGATGTCACACCAAGGCTCAGCAGCGCCCACTGTCTGCAGAGCGTATTCTTTCCTGCCTTCGGCGCCAAGCAGGTCCAGATCGAGAAAGAGTGAGATTTCATCTACAGCAGCAATCATGGACAACGGGAGGTCCTGGTTGTGGATCTGCCGCTGTACAAAGCCGATAAAAGTCTGGGCATTTTCCTCCAGTTCTTGGGGCAGCCGGTTGGCCACAGCAGCTTTGGAGTGCGTGCTGAGGTTGTGCCGTAGCATAAACCCCACTGCCCACTCGTAGGAGATTTTGAAGCCTCCTTCAAGAGAGCGACCAATCTTGGTGGCCTTCTGAAAGAGAGTCTCCTCGTTGACCGGCTGCTGTTGCTCTCGCTGTAGAAGAACCCACTCTGCGAGCTTGTCCTCGGCCTCGGTGCTCAAGTACCTCCCCTCAGATGAGGTGTCCAGTTTCTCCTCCTGGTCTGCCTGGAACCTCTGCAGCCACCAACGGATGCGGGTCGGCAAATAGTGGAAATGCTCGGCAGCTTTTTGGATGCTACTGCACAGAGCAAACAGCACCACGCGGAGCTTCTTGAGGCTCAGCTGCTCCTGTTCGTCGAAATCCAGGTTTCCATCCTCCAGCTCATCAAGCTCGTCGAGCTCATCCACATCCGCCGGCTTCTCGTTTTCCAAGGCTGTCGACACGTCGGGCTCCTGTTCACCTTTATCCTCGTCTGGAGGACTGGCGGCATCCCTGTTCTGTTCGAGAGGTTCCATGACCCTGTGGGGAACACAAAACGTGTGAGCACGATTGCACGTAGACTGTCATGTGGAGAATTCTACTGTAATCACCGCATAGCAAGCATGGCCACATGAACAACAAGGCAAGCGTTTATAGATCAGGGCCAGGACAAGGCCTTTTAGCACCAAAGCAAAGGAGCCCCCCCCC